GAGTAAAAAGTGCAATCACAATGACTTGACTCATGCGAATACCGAAATGTTGATTTCCGACATTCTCTTCATTATCATTGATTATGTCAGAGCCATGTTCTTCGCTGCTATTATTGGCATCCCCATGTTCTTCATTGCTGTTATGGGCATCCTCATGTCTGCCTCGTTCGACTGGATTGGAAACTTCTCAATCATCAGATTCTGAATCCTCTTGCACTGCAGTATGTTCGAAATACAGCTTATTATTAAAACCTTGTCATACTGCTTATATAGGTACAGAAATGATAAAGTTAACAAGGTACTGTAAGTATTAATTAAGAGGCTATTAAATAGTCTGATCAAACCACTGATCGTGAACAAAGCCCCAAACAAATAGCAAAATATTTTTTTTGGAAATGAGAGAAATTTTTACCTTCCATACCTCACTAGGACACTTTTTAAAACTTTTAAAGATGTTATGAAGTTTTTTGTGGAGAAAACTAAGCAATAAAGGTGCTCAGTCTCACGGTCTCACAAACCTTCCGCAGGTCGATCTTATTTTGAGTTTACCGTTTACTCCCGCCGTCGGTGCATAGGCCATGCGCGCCAAAGTTCAATATACAACCCAATCGATAGACAATTTTTCACTAGGTTGTTTTTAAATTTTACTTCCGGTTAAATTTTATCTCTAAACTAATATTTTGAATTCGATGATTTTCCCATACCTGGTGCCGGTCCGTCGTCGGTGGCGTTTACTGTGTCTCTCGTTGAGGAGGCGCCATCTAAAAAAACCATTGTACTGATCACGGCTTCTTCCCCATGAGGACCGCTGACATATGACCGCACGACAACATGACGCTTTTTTATGTTGCCATGGCAACTTAGACTCTTTGCTGTGGCCTACTTGTTCATTTGTCCGTCCGTAACTCATTATACTGACCTTCCAAGCGTTTTTGAAATTTTTCCTCTATGATTCGTAGCAGCCTCAAAATTTCTCTCGAGCAGGATGCGACTACGTTATCTAGATGACTGTGATAAATCATGTGAAAATGGATGGACTTGTTAAACGGTCGATTTGCACGGCTGAAGAAAAATGCCACGGAAAATGCTTAAAAAGGTTCTTCTGAACCTCTGGATTTCAAAATTTTCTTGGGGGTGGGGGGGGGCATGCCCCCAGACCCCCCTAGCAACTTGCGCCTTCGGTGCTCAAAACTTGCCTCATCTTGTTCTGAAGTCTGGCTACGGCTCTGACACATGGAATCGATGTTTCCCACCATTGACAGGACACTGGTATTTCCCACTGTCTTGTGAATTTTCCAAAAATTGAACTCTTAACAACACTGAAGATCAATGTGCAAAATGTATTGTCTATTGTGTGCTCATGGAAAGAGAGGATAGCGAAAGAACTTACTTTGAAATTAAACGCTGAACTCTGATCAAAGACCTGAATTAATTCAGCTTCTACTGACTCCTTTTGGACTCTCTCTCATCACATCATTTTTACATTAGCTGTAACACTCTTTGCATTAATTTAGGTATAACTTGTATTTCTTACATTTAATCGTGTGGTAAATGAAAGCAGTCAAATCTAGTCCATCCTAACCAAACTACATCGGTTAAACTCTAGAAGCCCGATGATGACTTAATTCGTGTTTACTTACTTGGCAAATTCCCCCCTCGATAGGACGCTTAAGAACGAACTGGATAATAGCTCACAAATATGCTGGCTTGTGGCATTGTTGCTGAATTCGACATCTTTCACTCGACCACTATCGTCAAAAATCTTCAACGTCGATGCTCGTGGAACGCGAAATTCATCTTCGTTTCTTAATAAAACGAAGGTTCTTTTGATGTTACGTGATCGTGACTGCCCGGTAGAACTAACGCTTGTATTAGACATGGTGATATCTGGATCGTGAACTGAAAAATCAGAGGACAATGATTAAGTAAACCGTGAGTGAAAAATGACTCAAGTGTAACCTTAAGTCGGACCTCAGAAAGCCGAAAAAAAACAGCATATCATGCCCTTTTGTTTAGCATCGCAGCCCTGGAAAAATGGCAGGAAAGGCACAAATTGGAATTACGTATTATTATTATTGAAGAGTGAACCTTCCAAACGGGTCAAGACAAATTAAGCCCATTTTACGGCAACAGCAGTGCGGAGGATAGTGGCACGGTATGTCTTTCGTGTGGCTTTATATTTGCAATGTAACGTGGGTA